ATATTAATAATATCCGGCTCTAAGGACCGAAATATGAGTGCCATTTTGACTTTCTTTCATTACAGCTGATAATTCACGTGTGTTTTGCCTGGTGAAGTCGGATTAGAGAAAATCACATTTACTAGCCAATTAATTCAACCTGAAAGAGAAAGAATAACAGAAGTGATCTCTACTTTTTTTTTGTTGAATCTTGTAACTTTTCGTCTAAGTGAACTGATGGAGAGATACAAAATTATCCCCAAGAAGGTATTTTTTCACTCATCCCCTATTTCAGATAAACTTCAAGGTAATTTTCTAAACATTATCATCCCCCCAATAATCTTTCTCAAGAGCAAAACTAAATAGGCAACTGGACATAAAACACGTATAAAATTTGATCACTTACGATTAATCAAACCATTTTCAAAGATTTATTTTTATATTGTTTGTTATTTCGTTTATCATTCATTCGAAATTGTGTTTTTCATATACCGCTTCACCTGATAGCTTGTTCATTTCATCATACGCTTGAATCAAATCGAACGCAAACAAGTTCATCGAAAAAACAATTTTGGGCCGACGGCTCATAGGAATTACGTCAATATGCGCAAAATTCATTCGGCGGACAAAATTTAATGAAGCATGCAAAATATTTCAGCATATTCTTCATTCTTTTAGACGTTCATCAGTTCTCGTCAATTCCAAAGTGGAGTTTGTTTCAAATTCCAACAGAATGGCGTGTATCATTTTTAAATTAACTTTGCATCTGTCGTTCCTTTTTTTATGATTTTAATTTGATGATATTATTTTCATTGCTGCTTTCATTCAATCAAATGAAATAACAGCAACAAACTGAATCAACAAGTTATAATGAAATGACGTTAAGAATTGTGAGAAAAAAGTACGCATATAAATACAAATTTATTTTTATATTATATAGTTCAATATGATCTTTTTCATATACAAATTCCTTACTTCCTGAACCTATTTATTCAATATAAGTTCATTTAGAGGTGATTAAAGGATACAGAAATTACACTATCCAGAAATGAAAATAAATTTTCATTGAAGGAGTTGTATTCCAAAAACCTACTTATATAATACAAAGTATCAAATATAAAATACAAAAATTAAAAAATAATCTAATTTTTGTTACTTTTCGAAAAAACGTTTGTTCCAACTGACATGTCCTGCAATTACTTACTTTATTTTACTAAACTATATCCATCCAACAAAAAAAGCAACCCAAACAAAGATAGATGCATGATCAAGGTATGATCACTACGCACATTCGCATTTTTTGTGTAATATGAACTAGTCTCGTCTCTTCCTTTCGCTGGCCAATCAGATTTAACTGCAAATGACTGGCAAAATTCATTGTTACAGTGTCAGTTTCAACGCTTGTGCTGTTTTCATATACGTTACTTCAAAGTTGAAAATTTTTGAAATATCAAGTACTGATACATCTGGAGAAACTGCTAATTTGTTTCCCTACACTCCACGTTAAAAAATTCCTATACCCAGCCGCATATTATAAACAAAATATCTGTCGTTCCTTAACGCGACTCTGTATAAGCAGCCTTGCCCGGGGGATCACGTGCACTATGCATGATAATGTTTTGGAGCACTCTGTTGCTTAGATGGACAGAGTATCTATAGTGAGTCATATGAGTTTGCATCTTTAAAACACATTCAATTCAATGAAAAGATTGACGTGAACAGCCACATTTTCATATTTTTCTGCGACCTGCCCCAAATATATTAATTTCACTCCAATGAAGCTTCACAATTTTGAAGTCACAATTTATTTTTTATAGAAGCAGGAGCACCTGAGACACTGTAGCATAACGAAAAAACTTGTATTGATGTTTCCATTGATCTGGCAAAAGCTTTTGACATACACACGCGGTTTCCTAGCATCGGCATGGAAATGGGATCTCAAGTTTGGGGGAGTTGGTTACATGTGAAATTCCATTAGAAACGTTTCTAGGGTAAATTTTATTTATAGGTTCCTAAATTCTTTTGTAAAACGCAATTCGTCGGGATTATAAATAAGCACGTCGTTGCATTGACTCAATCCTTATTGAGTTGTGGAATCCCTGGATAGATAGATGTAACAAATATAACGGAATCGCTATACTTCAAAGCGATGGTGGAAAGACTTCGGCTAGAAGACACCAAGAACCTCGCAAGGAAGAGAAACCGTTACAACCAGTGCTTGCACTTCCCTTCATCAGAGGATTATCAGAAAGAATGAAAAGAAATGGGTCCAAGTATAACATCAGAATCTGCTTCAGATCTGGAAACACTATCCATAGCAGCCCCACGAAAACCAGGCCACCAAACGCGGACTGCGATTCTAAGAAATGCATTCACCGGATACCCCGTGAATCCTATATCGGTGAGCATGTTTGTACCCATCAACATAACATCCAGTGGTCCCAAGCTGAGATCATATATAGGGAGGAACACTGGTTTAGGAGGAAATTCAAAGAAGCCGCATACATGTTGTTCAACAATGTATTCAGCCAAGCTAGCGTAGAGATACGCAACATATCGAAACTGACAATCAAGCAAAAAATGGCCAACTCCCGCAAAACGGTCATCTCACGCTGAACCGGTGAAGCAGAAAGAGATAATAAGTGACAGTACTCGAATGACCCATATATAGTCATCACCCGAAGACGATTATGGATACTAACAATCGAAACGTCGTGAAGTAATTTGGCTTGGAATCTCCTAATTTTTTTTACTTGTATTTTATCTCTCTGTAATTTCTTTTCAGGGTTATTTTGCTTGATATAATTGTTATTTTCAGCTATTCTTTTTAATTTTCATTTGTATCGGTTGTTTCAGGAATGTCAAATAATTTTACATAATATTGAACAATGGAAGTCCGAACTGATGAAATTCATCATGAACGGGGTTCTGTTTCGGTAGTGAATCTATTACTGTAAAAAAAATCACTGTTATTGTTGCAGTTCATATCACATTCCAACATATTCTTTGATATTGTTCTTATTTTGTCAGATAGGAAATTGTTACATAAAATATTCAGTGATAAATATAAGATACACAATAATACCCTACATTACATTGCATATTTGACCAAATGGATATTGTACTTTACTCAATCGATAGTTCATTATTGATTTTTCCATGTTCATTCTCTTCTCCAAGTGAGTCGAGGTATCATAGACATTTGAAATTGTAAGATCTGACTTTGTACAAGTAAATGGTTGTTATAGACAAATTTACGACAACCCTAATGACTTACTTTTCCATCTGCAAAACTGTAACTGATGAAATATTATTTTCGGTAGTATATCTATTACTGCAAAAAAATCACTGTTATTGTTCCAGTTCGAATCACATTCCAACATATTCTTTGATATTGTTCTCATTTTGTCAGATAGGAAATTGTTACACGAAACATTCAGTGATGAATAGATACACAATAACACCCTACATTACGTTACATATTTCACCAAATAGATATTGTACTTTCATCAATCAATAGTTCATTATTGATTTTTCCATGTTCATTCTCTTCTTCAAGTGACACGCGGTATCATAGACATTTGAAAATGTAAGTTCTGACTTTGTACAAGTAAATGGTTGTTATAAACAAATTTACTACAACCCTAATGACTTACTTCTTCATTTAGAAAACTGTAACTGATAACAAAAAATAATTTCAGTAAAGAACTCAATACCATCAAACAAATTGCGGTTAATAATGAGCTTGAAGCCGAATTAATGAACAAAATACTTGCCAAGAAAGTCTACGCAAAAGCGATTCGAAACGTTTTTCCTATTTATAAGGTAATTAATAAAAACTATAGAGCTTTAACGTATTTTCTACAACCAACGGAAACAGTGTCTTCATTTTTGAGGAAACTAGATATTAAAATTGCAACAAGTAATGCGTTGGGAAAGTTATCTTAAAATAATAAAGACATCCAAATTCGAGAAATAGGAGTATATAAATTGAAGTGTGGAACGTGCCCTAAGGTATTTATTGGTCAAACGGGCAGGACATTCAGGAATCGACTCCAGGAACATCATACGAGCTATATAAATAAGAAAACATATCCAACATATTCAAATCTTCTTCTAGAAGAAAATCATATCTTTGATGAAGAGTTCGAAATTTTGCACATAGAAAATGAAGGTTTGAAACTGAATCATTTGGAAGCAATGGAAATTAATAAACTTAAAAATTCAAACATTCTAATGAATGACCAACTGGAGATGAATAGATCACCACTATTGAACTTGTTTTTTTGAAAACCGAGAAAGAATTATCGATGTAGATGTGAGGTAATATGTTTCAGGTAATCATACTTGAACAGCTACCTCAGGAAGGTAATTTTTTTGAAGTAGTATCAATTATGGTTACCTGTAGTATATAATGATTGATGTAAGAACAACTTGAAGCATAAAAAACTTGAAAAAGCTACTGTGCTAGCGGAACATATTGTTATATATTTTTCAAAATAAAGTTTGTAAAGATCAAATCGTGGGGTGTAGTTTTGAAATGTAACTGATGAAATATTATTTTCGGTAGTGTATCTAATGGTGCAAGAAATCACTATTATTGTTTCAGTTCAAATGACATTCCAAAATATTCTTTGATATTGTTTTTTTTTTCATATCTGGTTCCACATCTTCACGTTCTATTCGAGACTTCGAAACCCTTCGTTCTATAAGTCGGTTCATTCTTTTACATATGTTTTTGTTAACACATCATTCAGAATATCTGTTCTCTTACTCACTACGTCGATATTTTTCAAGTGACCGCATCTCTATGAACTTGAAGTTCTAAAGTGCCACTTGTATTCCAAACAGCTGGAAGCATTTCCTAATTCACATCAACCGAATACCCTCTCGATTCGATGAAGCCAGTCTCCAATTAAAACACCGCACGTCTGATTAGCCTCACTAGTGAGAATGGTGGCAGAAGTGGGATAAAGTAATTTTCAAGTCATATTTACCCTGAACACGTGTTTTAATTTCAGGTTTAATGCCTTCCTGAACCTTCAACGAGAGAGCAAAATAATCACCCTCAAGGAGGAAGGGAACAGTAACCTGTGGAGCTACTTCACCCATTGTGCGGCCCTGTGTGTCCTTCTATCCATCGGCATATGCAACGCCCCACTCATCCACGATTATACCGTCGTGTACAGGGGAAGTTTAGATGACATCACTTTAATATGCATCATCGGAGGCATACTGCATCTGTTCTTCTGGATCGTTATATGGCTTTTCTTGACTATCAAGCAGAAGTGGACGTTCAAGTTGAGAATCACGGTAAGTGCGCGGAAGCGCGGATCTTTCCGTTCGCAATGTTGTTGGCTATTGTGATTACGCAGCGTACGGGAATTGAATGTTGAGGGACTTTTCTTGAAGTACGGTCGTGGTTTGGGGGAAAGTATCGATTTGATGTTATTGTGAAGATATATGAGACGTTCATAGCTCAAATTAATCTTTGGGGACTGTTATTAGTCGAGTAAACACAAATTATGCCTAACAAGCTTCGTATGTATTCGGTATTGCTTGAAGGATGATCGAAATTTAGTGAATCATTGGTCACTTTTTTATAATTACGAATATGACATGATTTGAATTGGAAAATTAATTGCATTTTATGCCCGTTGTGATGTACAAAAAACAATTGATTCTTTGAGTGGAATCTATGAAATACTAGATGACCCTGCAAACTTTTTTACGCCTAAGATGCAATAAAAAAGCACATTTTTGATTTTATCAATTCAATTTTTTTATTAATCAAGTATTTCAATCATTCTTTATTAGGTTACACTCTTCCGTTAAGCACCTTGTAATACACGAAATTGACAAGATTACGTTTACCTGTCATTTACCTTTCTTTTGTTATTCCATGTCAGATGCGTTTTTGCTATACCACGTTTTATAGTGACTTCACGGAAACGTGGTCGAACGGGATAAAAAGTATCCTATGTCCCTCTCCTTGTTCTAAGCTACCTCTCCACCAATTTTCAGCCAAATCGGTACATCCGTTCTTGAGTTTTAAATATTGTAACTGATAGAGAAACCAATACAACTAAAAGAATATTTTTGGAAATGATACATATTAATAACGAAGAACATTCAATGAATAAACGAACTGATATTGATAGTCTCACAAAATTTACACGTACCTACTGAAATATGATAAAGAAAATGAAAGATCTAGTTATTCGAGTATCATTCAGAATTTTCCCACTTGACATTGTCAGCCAAAAATTTTTATCAACTATCATTATATTTTATTCTCACTTTAGTAAGTTCTCCATATTTATATATTTTTTACAAGATATTTAATCTTATTATTGTAGTTGTCCTGACGAAGGTGTTAAATATACCGAAAGCTTGACATATAACAAAGAGTTTTTTTTGTAACAGCCCAGCTATTAATGCAACCTCACGAATTAAGGTTGCAGTCAATGGATCTCTTCAATTGGATGATACGAATATTGATCAACTGCTTGAAGTTGTTAGTTGAATAAGGAATCAACATCTGATAATGATGAAATTTCAATGAGTATTATTGGGAATCTTCCGCTCAAAACGTTTGTATCGCTAATCAATCTTTCATTCAGAAATGGCAGGTTTCCATCCTTTCTATGCCTCTCGTGGGTTATTGTCCATCAACTTTTAGGCATGAGTATTTTAGGAACTTCCTCTGCACGCCCTCAATTGATGTTTTTGGTAGTCATAAACTGGATTCCATAACACAGATCCATACTCTAACTTAGACCTGGCATACGCAAAATATAGCAGTTCCAAGGTGGCAATACTTTTGAAGTTTTTGCCATTTCTGTAAATGAATCCAAGCATATATTTGCATCAGCAGTCATATTCCTTATGTGTTGTAAATGTTAATTTACTGTCGTATGTTATACCAAGATCTTTTATCTCGTGTACGCGGTTGATTGTAGTATTGCTCATTGAATAATCGTACATTAAAGTTCGCTTTTTTGTTGTGAATGATATTATTTTACATTTGGAAGCGTTCAGTTGTAGACGATTGTTATTACACCAAAGTTTGATTACATCTAATTCAAGCTGGCTTTATCCACAAATAGGGTATACATTGCAGATTCAGTGTCATTTCCCAGTGTTCTCACGAAAACCGAAATTCTTAAAGGGCATTATATCCCAAACACGAAAGAACGTATTTGTAAATATCGGATTATGTTGAGATCTGAGTTTTCTTTATTGACAATTCACTTCACAACGAATTACCCGGAAGCAAAAGTCTTGCTGAGGCTTCAACATCGAAAGGGAACGGTGGTCCAAGAAGTTTCCGGAATAGGGGTTGCTTAATACCATCAGTTATGTTGGAAAATCTGGTGGAAGGTACTTACAATTCAAATAAGATTCCTCTTGGCTGGGATTAGATCAAATAGGTGAATGAATGTCATTACGATGTCATCGATGACATAAGCAGATCAAGCTTATTCCGTGACAATGAAAATCGTGATTCATGAATGAATTGAGTGTATTTTCTATAATGTTATCCAATTCGGTACTGAAGAGCCTTAGGGCAAGTGTGTTACGGCGAAACATCGATGTATACCAGTGAGGATGACAGTGTTCCATGTAAGTGCAATTTGTTACCATTCATTTAAAGTAGAACTCATGTGAATGATATCTGATTTTATTCCACAATGAATGTTTAATGAATGTTTGAAATACAAACTGAGTAGAGAAAAGTATCTTCTGTATAATTCAGTGTTCATATAGAAGTATGTAATTCAATGTTTTTATGAAAGTAGCTGTTTCAGGAGGACTTTCTTTCAATTTGTGTCTGAAAGTTACTTCTTTGCATGATCTACACATCCATGTATAGAGTTAATTATTTTCAAATTACTTCCTTCCTTTCTTTGGAAGATTCCCTTTTTTTTTGTATCAAGATGTAGTGGTAGAAAGCCAAAAACTTTTTTCCCAAAAATCTAATTCATGTTGTACACGTTAGCAGTCTGTAATGTCGTAGATTTTATAATACAGGTTCAGGTCGTCTGCAAGTAATAGGCAATGAATATTCAAAGAGATTGCCAAATCATTAAAAAAAAATAAAAATAAAAGAGGTCCAAGATTAGAACCTTGTGGTACCCTTATGGCACACATGATGCAGTATTCTCTTTCCTGTTTGAGGTGTATTTCAATTTGAATGATGGATATACTATTTGAAGGTGGTTGACAATGTTGGTAGCACCCTTCCGGCGACAAGTAACATTACATTTTTTCATCTTTTCAAAAAGTATTCCTCTGGCCAGGCAGTAAACATGGTCGTAGTGCAAACACCAATATTTAGTTCATATTTTGAGCATATTCGTACATCAAATAACTTCCAAATCGATATATTAACAAACCTGAAATGTATATAAATTTGATTCCACATACATTTTCCACGTTAAATTATTCATTAATATGCAGAAATTGCAATCAAACTATCACAACCATGTGCCGTTTATGCATATGATATGTGTCGATACCCTGTCTATTAATCAAAATATGGCATCGGTTTTGATAATTACGGAACTCGATCCAAACTGCACCTGTTAAAGTCACACTTTCGGTTCCATTTATCCATTATCTCCGTTCATTTTGCCGCCATTATGTGGTGAAGTTCGGTTCTAATGGAAGCCGCCTTGAGTGCGTCGAGGAAATTGAATTGATCAAGACACAAATAACTTGAATTGCGGAAAATATTTTTGATGGAATTCGACTGAATGAAGCGTCAAATTGGAATAAGGTCGAAAGCACTTTCGAAGAATCTTCTTTTAGACTCCATTCACTATCTTTCTGAAACATCTTCTAAAATTGAACACAGAAATACCCAGTACTTCGAGTACTTTCAGCACTGTGAGTTCCTCGATGAAAGTACCGATATTTGAAGAATTATATGTGCTTCAAAATGTGAAACACAGGTATTGAAAATATTTCAAGTAGGTACTTTTCAAATGAAAGTACATACGGGGTGTTAATTAAGTATGTACCATAAACTCAACAGACGCTTCCTTAGGTAATTTTAAGACGAAATGTTCATATAAACATGGGTCCGCAAATCTTTCGTTCTCAAGATACAGGGTGTTGAAATAAAAAAAAAGTTTTTCGTAAATATCTTAAATATCCTCTACCTAATTTTGTGGTAATTTGGCAATGGTATTTATAACATCAAGGAGCTGATTTAGCCTCCACGTGATTCAATTTATTAAGTCCAGTGGCGTCTCGATCGGGATTTGAACGAATATTTTTGACTTAAAAATGTACGCCACTGACTTTTGTGCAATTTTCATTATTTCTTTGAATTAAGCAATTAGAAATACAACTTTTTTTTGTCTCATGAAGTTTTTTGTGGAAATCATTTCACAATGATATCCTTTTGAAGCGTTATCATAATTAGGAATCGATGAGTTTCATCTCAAATATTCTTGTTTGACATCTTTTCTCTCTCAGACGCCGCATAACACTCAGATAATATTCTCCATTCACTATCAGTAGATAATTGAAAAAATGTTAACATTACTTTCACTTTTGATCGATGAGTTTTTTTCGTTTAAGGCTCAGTTAGTAGGCACCGAAGCTTGTTGACTGGTTTGCATATCGAATTCGTAAATACATATCTCATCACATATCTCATCACCTTGAACCTAGCTTAGATTACTGTTAGATACATATGTGTGAACTTGTTAATTATTCTATAAAAAATAGGCATTGCCTTGAGTAAATAAATAAATTATTTATTTCCGGCTCTTTCTTGACAGAATATTTCAATAACGCCTGTCACAACGCATAATTTGCGTCGCGTTAATGGTACACACATCTGCCCCGGATCTTAAGGTGGGATGGTCACTAATTAATATCCTGTTTATTGTTGATTGGTCACGAATAGAGTAAAATATGAGTAAATAATTTTATTTTGAATCATGATGGATTAATAATCTTTTTCACAAGGCAGTGTTTCGTTCCTAACTGCCAATACACGATTCTCTGCGTTTTTAGTTGCGAAACATGTGTTTCATTCATTGGTTGTGGCTGATTTGTGGATCAGTGACTAAACTTCCTATAGTTCCAACAATTTCCCTTATTCACCTTCTCAGATTGTGTTGCGGTCTTAACAACTCCGCCGGCATTCCGTATTAATTTCCATTATTCCGGAAACCTGTGAGGTATTTCGATTAAGCGATTCATGATACGGCTCACAGCAGCCGGGAAATTAGCGACAGTCGAAACGTCACAAACAATTTCCACAAACGATAAACTGATTTGTTTTATCTGGTAGC